TCAGTCCCTACCAGGTCTCACACATGCTAAACAGACACCATGTCAGTGAGTCATACCCCAGCCCCGCTACATTTTTTTTCTCCTAGGGATTGAACCTAGGGCTTTACATGTGTCAGACAAGCACTCTACCACCCAATCAAACCTCCAGTACTCTTTACATTTGACACAGGCTCTCACTGAGTTGCCAGACAAGGCCTGGAACACTCTCTGTATCCCAGATGTGTCTTGAACTTTTGATCCTCCTGCCTCAGCCACTTGGAGATTGGAATTACAGTCTGGCTTCACCAGGACAGGCAGCTACATTCTTTTCTATGACTTCTTTAATCTCTAGTTTATTTAATTTTATGTAATGGATATTTGATCTATTTTGGTCTTTTGCTGTTAAAAACAATAGTGCAGGAGCTGGAGAGATGGCTCAGCAGTTAAGAGCACTGGCTGCTCTTGCAGAGGACCCAGGTTTAATTCGCAGCACCCACAGCTACCCATAACTGCATCCTCAGGGGATCTCACACCTTTGTCCTCTGATATTCATGTCATACAATAATTGGAAAACAAAATAGAACGATGTTAAAAAATAGTATTCCGTTTTAAAAAGAAATTATTATTTTTTCTTTTTTGTCTTCTTGAGACAGGGTCTCCCTGTAGACCTAACTGGCCTGGAACTTGCTTTGTCGACCAGGCTAGACTTGACCTCACAGAGATCTACCTGCCTCTACTATTCGTTTGTTTTTGAGTAGGGTTGTAGGATCTGACTAGTCAGGAACTCACCTTGTAGACCAGGCTGGCCTCAAACTCAGAGATCCACACAAGGCATGTGCCACCATGCTTATAAAAAAAATAAGGTAAATGATTTTAGAACGAGGAAGCTACTTAGTGTGCTTAATTTGGCTCTTAGGATTGTTAGTATGACTAGTACTTTAGGAAGTAAAGTAAGTGAAGAAAGTTATGTCACAGTTTAAACATCGAAGTCTTCCTTTCTCCCCTTCCTCCTTCCCTCCTTCCCTTCTTCTCTCCCTCCCTTCTTTCCCCCTTTTGAACCTAGGGCCTCATGCATACTAAGTAGGAGTCCTATCACTAAGGATCGTCCTCATTCCATAGCATGCTTTCTTTGGATGTTATGTTTAGCTGTTTTTACTGTGACTTGATCATTTTAACCTCTGTTATGGTTTGAGTATGGCTTGTGTATTGGGACCTTGGCTGCCTGCCGAGGAACCTTTGAGAAGTCATTGGATTTTGAGGGCTCTGGCCTACTGAGTAGGTTAATCCCTGGATGGATTCATAACATGAGGGCATCATGGGGAGGTGGTAGAAGGGAGGAGGCTGTGCTTAGTTGAAGGAAGTAGGCCCCTGGGGGTGTGTCCTTACGGGACTGTCTTGCCCTGGCTCCTTCCTATATTCCCTTCTTTCTGTTGACTGTCTGCCATAGCTGAGTAGTCTCTGCCACATCTTCTGCTGCCATGATGTTCTACCTCACCAAGCTCAGAACCAGCAGGACCACGGACTATGGAGTAGCCTCTGAAACTATGAACTGAAATAAACCTTTCTTTCCTGAAGTTGTTTCTCCCAGATACTGAGTCATGCAGTGAGAAAGTCTCATGAACACTCCCCATTAAAGACTGAAGCATTTCTCTGCCTGTCCTTATCACAGTGCAGAGGTGGCCTGGGTTGAATATACAGTATGCCCTGTACCTTGTCCCCTGTGCTGATATTCCATATATGGGACTGTCTGAGATGTTCCTGCTGTTGAAAAGATGTGTCTGTCACCTGACCTGAGAGGAGGATCTTTCTGCGTTTTGGAGCTTCCATCTCTTGTAAAGGAAGATGGGATCAAGGGGAGGGATTTCCCGCCTTGATTCCTCTTTGACACTTTCATATTTGTTACCAAGTCTGTACTCTTCACCTGCCGCAGGCACAAGAACTTCCCCAAACACTGCTCGCTATTCTGTTCTCTTACAAAATCCATTGACATTAAGTTCAAATTTCAACATTCTTTTTTTGGATAAAAAAATTGTTATTTTATGTGTATGAATGTTTTGCCTGTGTGTACATAGGTGTACCCAGGTAGTACAGTGCCCTCGGAGGCCAGAAGAAGATGTCGGATCTTCTGTAACTGGAGTTAGGGATGGTTGTTAACTGCTGTATGGGTGCTGGGAACTGAACCCTGCACCTCTGTAAGAACAGCCAGTGCTCTTAACTGCTGAGCCATCTCTCCAGCCCCCCCCCCTTTTGACTTTTTAAGTCATTACTCAAGCACATGGCTCAAGTTCTTCCTAGTATTTTGTTCGTTTTTTTGTTGATACAGTCTATCATAGCCCAGACTGGCCTTGGTAGCTAAGGTTGATGTTGAGCTCCTGCCTCTACTTCCGGAATGCTAGAATTATAGTCATGCATCACCAGCTTCAGTATACGAAGTGCTGGGAGTGAAGCCCAGGATTTTGAATTGTAGGCGAGTGCTTTTCCAACTGGGCGAGTGCTTTTCCCTTAATCTTCCAAATTGCCTCCTTGTAATTTTTATCTGTTAACGTCTGTTAAAGAACTGCAGCAGAAAACAAGTCTTGGGATAGAAATACATAAAGATAGCTAGATTATTTCTCTTTTTTGTCCTATTCCTTTTATTTCTTTTTTTTTGGGGGGGGTGCTTTTTGAGACAGGATCTCCCTGTAGCCCCAGCTAGCCTGGCACTCATTATGTAGACCCGACTGGCCTCAATCTCACAGAGATCCCCCTGCCTCGCCTCCCGAGTGCTGGGACTAAAGGTGTGCACCACCATGCCCTGCTGTCCTATTCCTTTTTATAGTCTGAAATCCATAAAATCATATTCTAGTTACATAAGCACTCTAAAATGTTTATTCCCAGGATATAGTTACTAAAACTGTGGCTTATTAACCTCAACAGGTAGAACAGTGACTCTCAACCAAGGATGATTTTTGTGTCCTATGGGACACTAAAGATGTCTGGATAGTTTTGTTTGTCACAACTGGGTACTGCTCTCATCTGCTGCATAAAGACCAAGGATGCTGCTACTCATAGGAGAAGCCTGACAACCAAGGCTTACTTCTTCCCAAATGTCAGCCAGCGGTGCCAAGCCTGATGTAGACCCAGTGGCATTGTACTTTGTGTTTTTTCCCATGTTGAGTATCCGCACCATTCTGTGTTGGGTACCTACTTAGGATCCTGCCTTTCTTCTTTCATTTTAACTTAAAAGTATTCTATTTTTTTAAATCACACACACGCACACACACACACGTACTCACACACGTACATCCACGGCAGCTCCCTTTCTGTAGTCATTTCAGTTCAGCTCCTCTGCAGTGGCTTCTGTATATTCTTTTTTTTTTCTTTCTTTCTTGTTGTTTTGAGATAGGGTCTCCCTGTAGCCCCCCAATAACCTGGAACTTACTATGTAGACCAGGCTGGCCTTGATCTCATGGAGTTCTGTCTGCCTCTGCCTCCAGACTGCTGAGACTGAAGGTGTGTGCTGCCACGACCAGCTTCCATGTACCATTCTGTTTACTAGATTTTCTTTTTATTTTACTCTATGGCCTAGGATTTCTGGGAACTCACTGTAGATCCCAGGCTAGCCTCAGACTTGCAGTGCTCCTACTTTTATGAGTGGGAAGATTACAGATGTGAACTACCATAGCTCAAAGAAACAAACTTTATGGAACTTACACACACACACACACACACACACACAAACAAGAAAAACAACAACAACAAAAGCAAAACAAAACAAAAAAACTTCACCCCCTTTCTAGGCCTCATGGAACTTATTGTGTCACTTAGGCTGGCTTTTATTTCCTGAGTGCTAGGATTACAGATGTGTACCATGACACTTGGGAAGAAAACAGTAACTTTATCAAGATTTCCTTGCCAAATTTGGCGCATTGGTGAGGTTTTCAAGCTGTTGAGAATACTTTTGAAAGTACTCACAGTAAGTCCTTCTACTTAGGTAACTGTGGTTTTTCTTAAACCAAGCTTTTTAAAAATAGATTCAAGGCTAGAGAGATGGCTCAGTGGATAAGAACACTGGTTTCTCTAGCAGAGGACCCAGGTTTGGTTCCCAATACCCATATGGATCTAACAACCATTTATAACTCCAGTTCCAGGGTATCTAACACCCACTCTGGTCTTTGTGGGCATTGCCCACACATGATGCACTTTTATACATGCAGGCAAAGCACTCATGCACATTCTAAAAAATTAAAATTAGATTCTCAGTCAGGTATGGTGGTGCACACCTTTCATCCCAGCACTAGGGAGGCAGAGGCAGGCCAATCTCTGTGAGTTCCAGGCTAACCTAGACTATATAGCGAATTCCAAACCAGTGAGGGCAGCATAGAGAAACCTTGTCTCAAAAAGAAGATTCTCATTTTTGAAGTCACACACACAAAGGCAAATACGGCCGGACCCCAGGACCCATGAGTTTGCAGATATTCATTTTGTCTCTTGTTCTGTAGTTCTTTGTGTTTAAAATTTAACTAGAATTTAGAGCAGTTTTAGTAAAGGTAAATTCATTACGTACTGAAACGAATGTGTATTCTTTTGAGATTCTCACATGCAGTTACTGCTAAGAAGTCTGAATATTATTTTAGAGTGCTGTTTTGTGTGGCGACAACCTTGACCATCCTTCGTGTACACCTCAGTGCTGCTTATAGATGAAGAATGTCACTGTTAGCCTGAAGGTTTCCTTGGATGCTTTTCTTTTCTATTGAATACTTAGGGAATACCTGTAATGTGTCTGTTGTAAAGGTTTACATCCTAGCACCATTTCTTGAACTGGTTGACCTCTATAAATATCTATAAAGATAGCTTTATTGTATAGGTTACCAAGGCCAGGATTGTAAAACTGGTCTGGACAGTGTTAAGTATGTGCACGTAAATGAGTTATTCACTACCATCAAGGCTTTAATCCTACCTTTAAAGTTTTGACTATTCCTACTTGTGTAATTATTGATAGTAATGCTTGTCATGTATTCTTATTTTTCTTTTCTCAACAGGGGAAAATGCAGTGTTGCCCTACTGAATGAGACAGAATCGGTACTTTCGTACCTTGATAAAGAGGTAATGTGCAGCGCTCTTGCTTTGTGCTTTCTCCCCATAATTGCATCTGAGGTCCGCACCTTAGAATCGATCTTTTTCTGTACCAAGGTACTACTCTGCCATTACAGCGGTGCTTTAACAAGAGTGTAATGACTGCAGTACATTTGGATTATTTCATTTTCCTGCTTGAAGTAAGAGTTAGTTAAAAAAAAAAAAACTATCTCGTAGTTATCAGCGAAGCACATTATTTAGATAAGTATTTTTAGCTTTATAAAATAAATTCTTTTCCCTATTATTTTTGTTTTTAAAAATGTTTTATTTATGCCAGGTGAGTTGGCACATGCCTGTAATCCCAGCACTTGGGAGGCAGAGGCAGGCAGATTTTTGTGAGTTCGAGGCCAGCCTGGTCTACATAGAGAGTTCCAGGACAGCTGGGGCTACAGGGAGACCCTGTCTCAAAAAGATCAAAAAAATATTTTTACTATTTTTATTTTATGCGTGTGAGTGTATTGCCTACATGTATGTGAGTGCACCATGTCGTGCAATGCTGTGGAGGTCAGACGAGGGCATTGGATTCCCCTGGAACTGTACTTATGGACAGTTGTTAGCTGCCGTATGAATACTGGGAATCGAACCTGGGTCCTCTGCAAGAGCAGTTAGTTCTCTTAACCACTGAGCTATCTCTCCAGCCCCTTATTTTTGTTTTTTAAATGAGTCACGTTCTGTTTGTCTCTCTCTCCCCCCATCCCTTTCCCCCCTCTTCTCTCTCTTGTTATTTTCTTAGGAATGCTTCAGAGCTTAATCTTTATTTAAATCATTTTTTCATTTTTTAAGACAGAGTTTACCTATATATCCCAGGTTGGCCCTGAAACTCGGATCCTCTGGCCTCAGTCAGGTGCTGGGATTACAAGGTTGGGCCAGCACATCCAACTCCCCTCAGATTCTTTATTACATAAATGTGTCTGTTTCAGAATTTGTTAAAGAGACACACTTCTTTTTTAAAAATGTATTTTTTTATCATACTCAAAAATATTGATTTCTTATCTCAGATTAAGAAAATGTAACCGGAAAACTTTAATGCGAACATAAAGCATTCATTAGAAAGTCTAATAAAAACAACCGAAAAATAATATTCTAGGCAAGTAAAAGGTTAATATTCTTATTCTTGTGAAATTTCGGAAAAGGACTGGCTAGATGGTTCAGTAGGTAAAGGCACCTGCCACCAAGCCTGAAAACCTGAGTTTGACCCCTAGGTCTCACAGGGTAGAAAGAGAGAACAGACTCCCATAAGTTGTCTTTTGACCTCCACATGTGGGCTATGGCATGGACATACCTGCTCTCCCCAAGTAATAAATCAAAGTTAAAAAAAAAAAAAGAAAGAAATTTAGAACAGGGGGGGGTTTAATCATCATGTTGTATGATGGAATGATAGTTGATGCTAATATGCCCAGAATTAGCATTACAGACACAGAGGTCAGTTGTCACCTGGTGTGTTTCAGAGTCTTGCTGTCTCTCTGTCTGTCTCTTGATGCTGGAGGATGATTTTTAAGGGAAAAATAACAGGGTAGGCAAGCTGTAAATCTCTGCAGCTAGCAGGAGAAGGGAGACAGAGAAGAGGAAGAGAGAAAACCATGCTGTTTGCAGTGAGGTGGCAAACAACCTCATATGGCAAAAAGAGCAAGTGAAGAGGCCCAGGAAAGCATGCTTAGCCTTTGGCCAGTACCCACAAAAGGGATAAAGAAAAGTAAAAGAAAAAGTTACAGCCAGGAGTGGTGGTGTTCACCTTTAATCCCAGCACTTGGGAGGCAGAAGCAGGCGGATCTCTGTGAGTTCAAGGCCAGCCTGGTCTACATAGTGAGTTCCAGTCCAGCTGGGGCTATGGGGAGACCCTGTCTCAAAAAGACCAAAAAAAGAAAAGAAAAGAAAAGAAAAAGTTACACTTTTCTGAGCCCTACCTCAGGCCAGTGTGACAGTGCTCTCTGCAAGCAGCCACAAGTGTCTAACTCAGCCTTTCTTTTTGAGACAAGGTCTCATGTAGCCCAGGTTGGCCTTATGCTTGCTGTAGAACTGAGAATTACCTTGAACTCCTTATCCTCCTGCCTCCACCTCCCAAGTATTGGGATTATAGGTGTGTGCCACCACACCCAGCTTAAATATTCTTAAGACTTTGTATTTTGCATTGTCTTTTGTGAACTAAACATATTTTGAGTATTTTTTATTTATACGTACATACATATATAAAGATTCTAAGCAACTATTTGATGCCAAGTCATTATTTTATTTTCTGTAGATTATGGTAGAATCCCTTTTAAAATTGGAGTACTTTTGCAATTAATGGTGCCTTGAAGTTTCTCTGCTTTTAAATTCGTTGATGAGCCAATGGCAGAATCCTCAGGTCTGGAGTGATAACCTTTATTGCTCATGTCTACAGAGCAAGCTGGGACAGGTGTTCATCCCCTCTAACCCAGTTAGGAATGGTTTGCAGATTCCTTTTTCTCCTTTGATAGCATTTTAAAAATAAATGCAGAGTTCACATCGTATGTTACTAGTTTGGTCTGATCCATGGTTAAAGTACAGAGCAGAAGTTGTCAATGGAAGAGCAGAACTGTCTCTGTTTTTCCCCTTTTCATCCCAGTATGTAAGATCCCTAGAAAGGGAACATTTACAGTTTGACATACATGTCTTGCAGCTGGTCTTGGTGACCTCTGGATGGTAGGGACATGCTCTTCATGGTCAGAATGGAAAGTGGTGTACAGGATCCCTGGATTCTACAGGGAAGCAGAAGATAGGGCCTGACTGGCTCCTACTCCAGGGCTCTGCAGAATTTAGCAAAGGATTGGCAGCCAGGCCACTTTGAGCTTAGTAACTCTAGGGCACCTGAGCTTTAAAAATTATTATTATTATTATTATTATTGTTGTTGTTGTTGTTGTTATTATTTGCATCTGTGTGTGCATGCATGCATGATGGGGAGCTTGGTAGAGCATGTGCCCACAGCATGCATGTGCAGATCAGAAGACACCTTTGATCTCTCCTATCTTTCTGTGGGTTCCAGTGACTGAACTCAGACCATCAGGCTAAGACTACAAGTACCTTTACCCACTAAGCCATCTCCCACTTGAGGTTTTTAAGGGACAGTTTGGATATTTGATATGTGGGCTCATGGTGCTGGTGTGTTTACTTATGTTTATATGTCTATCTCTTTACATATAACTATACTTCAAAATTTAACAGAGAACAGCAGAATTATAATCAATATTTAACTGGATTTCTATAGTGATATTAATAAAAGTACATATAAGTTCAACTCTTGTATAGTTTAGTCAGTATATGTATCTACCTTTTAGTATTTTTGAATAAAACATGAATTCTTTTTGTTTCATTTTGTTTTTGAGATAGAGTCTTGCTGTATAACTGGCCTCTAACTCAAAACCTTTCCCGCCTCAGCCTCCTGAGTGCTGGGGTTACAGGGGTGAGCCACTATGCCAGCTTTGCTAGCATCTCAAAATTTTAGAGTAATTAATGGTATTCTTTTAGATTAAAACACATAGTAAAATCTCATAATCTACTTAAAATTCTTTTAACTTTAATTTTGTGCTATGATACATAATGACAGTAATACCCTGCTTTCCTTAAAGATTTATGAATTTAAGACAAAACTTTATATACTCAGAAGTTATATGTCCCATTACTGTAATGTTGATTTATTGCTTTATAGAAAGTAGAAGGAATTCCACTTACCTGTGTTTCTGTCCATTGTGTCAGGATGCCTTCTTCTACTCACTGGTGTATGACCCTTCCATGAAAACGTTATTAGCTGACAAAGGGGAAATCAGAGTGGGCCCCAGATACCAAGCCGACATTCCAGAAATGCTCCTAGAAGGTATGTTTTCACTGGGTTTCAAGTTCTGTGAAATCTGCATCCTGAAACGTGAAGATTCTTATCCTCATGGAAGAACATACTTAAGTGGAGGGTGTAAGAGTAATGGACCTCCCAATTTGAGAAACATAAGATATGGTGGAGGATAATTCACAAGCTCACTTATTTATTTATGACTTCTCATTTTCTTATTTTTATGGCTGTGGATTTTTTTTAATGTGTGTATGTATGTGGGAGTGGGGGTACATGCATGTATGCATGTGTGTGTACATGTGAGTGTGTACACACATGTGTCACTGCCTGTGTGGTCAGAGACATCTTGGGGGAATCAATTATCTCCTCCCACCTTAGAGTGTGTTCTAGGGATTGAGCTCATGTTGCCAGGCTTGTGCAGCAAGCTGAACCTGCTAACCATCCTGCCAGTCCAGAAAATCTACATATCTAGAACATTGTTATGTTCTAGAAATGTGCTTATGAGCATAACTTCTATGTGAGAAGTAGTATGTACTGTTTGGTGCTTCAGCTGCATATATATGAAAATTGCAACTATACAGAAATTAGCATGGCCCCTGTGCAAGGACAGCATGCAAATTTGTGAAGTGACCCATATTTAAAAAAATAAAAATAATTATTTGAATTGTTGATTTAGTTTCATTACAAAAAAATACATGTAATGAATTTGGCTTGGGACTAGGACAGAATTTCCAAGTTTTTGAAATGGTCCTAAACATACTTCTGCCATGTGTATTACATATTCATGCAAAATTTCCAGCACTGATGATAACATCAAAATACCAACCAGCTCTGGAAAATGCTGAAAGTGCTCTGTGTCCTATAGTATCAGGTGTCTTGCCAAGATTTAATTCTTTATGTCAAAATAAATAAGGATGAGCTAGTGACCTGGCTCAGCAAGTATAGGCACTTGCTGCCAAGACTGAAAACTTGAGTTCAATCCTCAGGACCCACATAATGCAAGGAGATTCCTGTAAGTTTGTCTATTTGCCCCCCACCTCAGAATAAATTTATAAAATGGAGTAATATGAAAAAATAAGGATATCCATCTCATTAGTTTGGAAGTTTGAAGTTTTGCTTTCATTTTTAATAAAGGGTATGCATACCAAAGAATTATTTTAAAGTAAAATTCTCCATGAGTTATTGTTTGTAAATGTTTGATATGTATACCTATTTTATATCCTGGGGTTATCATAAAAATTTCTTGTGTAGAAAGAGTCTACAAATTGGAAAAGTTTAAGAAGTCATGGTCACCAGGCGTGGTGGCGCATGCCTTTAGTTCCAACACTTGGGAGACAGAGGCAGGTGGATCTCTGTGAGTTTGAGGCCAGCCTGGTCTACATAGTGAGTTCCAGGCCAGCTGGGGCTACAGGGAGACCCTGTCTCGAAAAAGACAAAACCCCAAAAAAAAAAAAAAAGAAGCCGTAGTCTAGCCTGTTACCTGGAAAGCCTCGAAACTATATGGTATTTCCTTTGTGGGATTGGTCTGTTTTTTTCTGTCCCTTAGGTGTTTTTTGGTAAAGTTCCCTTACTATTGTTCTTCAGAAGTTCTGGGGTGGGTCTTATCTCAGTTTTTGGTTTTTTTTTTCTTTCTTCCTTAGATGAAGTTTATCATCCATTTGCCAATTTCTTCCTTCAGATTTCATTTGGCTTCTTTGGTTGGGAGATGCTGACCATTTTATAATTTTGAGCATGATGTGGGTCTGTTTCTGAGGCTTTCCTTCTGTTGATGCTGGTCTGTTGGTTCATGTTCTTATGCTTCAGTTTAAGAATAGAAGCTTTGTGGTGTGTGGGAGTTTGTGGTAAGCCTTGTCTCCTGTCACACTGCTTACTTTTGCACATTTTCTGTGTGCTTATTTTTCTAGATGAACTTTATCATCAGCTTCACTAACAGGAGGAAAAGAAGGAACCCCCCTCTCTTTTCTGTTTTTGTTATAGTGGCAGCCACCGTTTAAGTTACTTAGGGAGCAGAGGCATTTTGGTGATAGCTAGCTAGCTAAGGAGAACGCCTCAGAAAGAGCTTCTTTCTTCAAAGCTACTTCCAATATTGTGGGAGTGAGAATATATATATATATATATATATTTTAAATATAGCTTTAGTCATAGGTTTATAGATTTCTTCCTAGGTTTATTTATTTATTTTTTGGCTAGGTTTATTTTTATATTTATTACTTGCTCAGTTTATTTCTGTGAATTTTTTTTACAAAAAACACATTTATATAGATTTTAGAGAAAATGACATTAAAATTTACTTGTGTGTCGGGGAGGGGTTTGGCTTTTTGAGACAGGGTCTCCCTGTAGCCCCCAGCTGGCTTAGGACTCACTTTGTAGACCAGGCTGGACTCGAACTCAGAGATCCACCTGCCTCTGCCTCCCAAGTGCTAGAATTAAAGGTGCACGTTTGTGTGTGTGTGTGTGTGTGTGTGTGTGTGTGTGTGTGTGTACATGTACTTGTGTGAAAGTCAAAGAACAACTTGCAGGAATTATCTCGCCTTCCATCACGTAGGTCCTAGGGACTGAGTCCAGGCCAGGATTGAACCTAGGTTGCTAGGCTTATTGGCAGATACCTGCAGAGCTATCTTACTGACCTGAAAAAAATGCCTCCTGTTGCTTTTAGGGGGAGACAAAGTCTCCCTGTAGCTTAGAACTTGATGTGTAGACCAGCCTGGCTTCGATCTCACAGAAATCCGCCTGCCTCTGCCTCTGCCTCCTGAATGCTTGGCAAAGCCAGGAGCTACCTTGCCTGCCCTGAAAAATGCCATTTTTAAAAAATTATAAGTGAAGAAGTCATTTGGATTTTCATTATAACCTCAAACATTTAGCATATCCACAATATTTCTTCTCACTTGTAATTAGCAATCAACGAGATGTGTGGTTTAAAAAGCTTCTTTCTAATTATGAATTTTAGGGGGAAGGAACATAATAATAGATGTATATCAAATAGATGTATACAGTTAAAATCATGAACACATGACTGTACCACATTTAAAAGTCATGGACAGTGATCCCTGTGTGGGTTCACACTTATAAACCCAACACTTGAGAGACTGAGGCAGGAGGATTGAGTTTCATCCTGTTACATGGCAAGGCTGTCTTGGAAAAGGAAAAACAACAGACAAGAACAAGACAGACCACAAACATTGGCCCTCCAGAAGCATCTGTGTACAGCGAAGTGCCTGGTTGAAAGGCAATTAGATGGGAGAAGCATCGTATTTGAGAACAAATATTTAGGACTTGCCGTAACTCGTGCTTGTTAAGTCATTTGGTCCTCTTGTGTGGGTGCATTTTGACCACTGGCCAGACCGCTATTTGTGTTGGCATGGGCGAAAGAGCCAGAATGAATATCCACGGTAGGTGGCAGCAACCATGTCAGAATGGGATACAGCTGGATTTGTGAGCATGGGCTGATGGATCCTACACAATCATTATGCTGTTTCTTACTTGTGAAATTTTTAGAATTCACTTACTCTATCATGTAACAAATGCTTAAGATCTGGAGTGATGTATATAGTTTGGAAATGAAGGTGAAGGTTTGTTTGAGATTTCAAATCTTATATTAAATTCAAATAAACTACCTAGAGAAATTTCTGTAGAATTTTCTGTAGATGTAGGAAATTAAAAATTGTAGTTATATGAATTGTAACAGAATTTGTTTTCTTCCAAGATCAAGTCTTGCTATAAAGCCCTGTTAGCCTAGAACTTGCTATGTAGAGCAGATTAGCCTCCAACTCACACAGATCTGCCTGCCTCTGTTTCCAAGTGCTGGGATTAAAGGTGTGTGCCACCGTGTCCAGTTTAACATTTTAATTTTAAGAAAGAAATCCATTTCATATACAGAATTTCTAAAATTTATGCTTATTTATTTATTTTTTGGGGGGGGTCTTTTTGAGACAGCGTCTCATCTCCCTGTAGCCCCAGCTGTCCTGGAACTCACTACGTAGACCAGGCTGGCCTTGAACTCATAGAGATCTACCTGCCTCTGCCTCCTGAGTGCTGGGATTAAAGACGTGCGCCACTGCTCCTGGCAAATTTATGTTTATTTTTATAATGTGTTTTGCCTGCATGTATGTAAGTGTACCACAGGTGTCCAATGCTTGTGGAGGCCAGAAGAGGGGGTCAGATCCCCTGGAACTGGAGTTATAGACAGTTGATAGCCCCCTTGTGGGTGCTGGGAACTAACCTGGGTCCTCTGTAAGAGCCTCAAATGCTGAGCTATTTCTACAGCCCACATACAGAATTTTTTTTTTTTTTTTTTTTGTTTTTTTTTTTTTTTTTTTTTTTTTTTTTTTTTTTTTTTTAAAAGGTTTTCCCTCTTGCCCCCCGCTAAATTAAATAATTGTAGGCTGAGACTGTTTTGCTAAAACGTAAATTATAGTCTGTTAAACTTGATTTAGTAAAACCCTTTATATGTCTTGAAGAGTTTAGTCTTAAAGTTTTTAGGATATGACCATGGGTTTTGTTTGTTTGTTTGTCTTTTTGAGGCAGGGTCTCCTTGTAGCCCCAGCTGTCCTGGAACTCACTATGTAGACCAGGCTGGCCTTGAACTCACAAAGATCCACTGCCTCTGCTTCCCAAGTGCTGGGATTAAAGGCGTGCGCCACCACGCCTTTATCATTAAATGATTAAACTAGAACCAGATTTGGTGAAACCTGGCAAATATGTCCTAATTATAACCTTGGGAAAGAATTCAACCCCTCCACCTTCCCTTTTCTTCCTCTGTAAAAAGAGAGTAGGAAGTACCTTCACCCAGCACAGGCCTCCAGTGAGGCTGATGTAGTGGCCTCAGAATCTGTTGTACTGTTTTGCTCTGGAAAGCCATCTGGGAAGCTTTGACTTACAGATTCAAGATCTTTGTTTGCAAAGGAGGAAAACACACCTGCTCTGTGGATTCAGGTGTTAATCCCATTGAAACTCTATGCCGGGATCTCCATCTCAGTGAGGGACACATGAGGCCAGGGCTCCTGGAGGTTTAAGGAGATAAAGGTCAACTG